GAGTTGCAACCAGAGTCACGGAACGGATTAAGTTCGTAACTAGAGGTACCACTGTATTGTTAAAATATTGCAACTATAGCAGCTTCTAGAAAAAAAAAATAGTGTTCATTCCATAATGCAAGTAACAGATTTGACTGGTTCTTTTATACAATCTTGTTTCTACAGTAAAAAAAACTACCTGGAGTCATTGTTTCTAGGAGTATACCATCTTGAGACAGCTGGTTTCACAACGCAACTTCTGAATAAAAGCCAGTAAGCCAAACATACCTGATGTCCAGCTGTTACTTGCTTCAAGACATTTTCGTAACAAACTTCATCCATATTATTCAGCTGCTGCACCTGAAATGCAGGGCACCAAACTTTATTTTAGAATCACTGTCCTGATATTGAGCTACCTTTTTAAATACGGTGCATATTTTTAAAATGTACACAATATTCCTAACATCTGTTAAATGAAAGATATTATGTATTTCTCTTTCTATGATTAGTGGTACAAACACATAGAATTGCATATATTACTTTCAAACATAGATTAATGGTTAAGGAAACACAGTTTAAAATGAAACTGTTGCTGTTGCTCAGTCATTTCTGGCCCTTTATAACCCCATGACAACAGTAAGCTAGGATTGTCTGCAGTTGGGAACTGCTTTTTTTATATCGGTGATAATATCTATCAATCTTGTCTTTTGCCAGCCTCTTTTTTTATTCAGCTCTTCCAAGCATCAGGATCTTCTCTGAAGTTTCTTGCTTCTGAGTTATATATGCCCAAAATATATAAGCTTTAGCTTCATTACTAGTGCTTTCAATGAGCTGCCTGAATTTACTTCAGTTAGTACTGAATAATTTGTTCTTGCTATCCAGTGGTCTCTCAATCATTTTCTCCAGCCTCACACTTCAAAGCCACTGATTTTTCTTTGTTCAATCTTTCTGATGATCCACCTGTCATAGCCATGTTATGACTAAAAGACCAGAGACCACTCCTTCAACTACCTGTGCTAATTAGCACTAGCAGTTGACGTAATTTTTTAAATACTGACCAGCAGACCAGCTTTTGCAGTTTCCTCTTTCAAGCAAGAGATTTGTTGAGACTTCCCCACTTCCAGCCACCAAAGTTCATCTAAGATTATTAATATTTCTTCCATCAGTTTTAATTCCTTATTGTATTTCTTCTGATCAAGTATTTCTTGTTGTATGTTCCCAATAGAAATTAAAATGAAAGTGGGGCAGTATGCAATCTTGGCACACACCTTCCTCAATTGTGAATCAATTAGTTGTTTCACGTGTTCATTCTGTCAGCATACAAATTCTTCATATGCATAGGAGGACTAGTATACCCATGTTTTTAAGGGCTGTCCACAATTTCCTGTGGTCTATGCAATTAAAAGCCTTAGTATAATCAATAAAGCAAAAATAACTACATTTTTTGGAACTCTCTTGCCTTTCTCAGTATTTGCAATGTGATCCCAAGTGCTTCTGCCTATTCTGAAAGCAGCTTGTATTTTTGCTAACTCTGATAGTTCTCATTCCATGTATTATTGAAATACTGTTGAATGGGGCTAGGGGATTCAAACTCAGAAGTGGTATTTTGCCCACAGCACATCCTGACTAAAGTGATAATTGACCACACTGACTAAATAATCCACTGGTGTAGGGAAAAATAAAAACCATCATCTGTCTTAATACAACAAACTATGCAAAAATGAGAACAAAACAAATTCAGTACCGCCTACAAAGTCAAAGAACTCTTCAGTCCAAGCGTAATGAAGCATAACAATACTAATATCTTCAGTGGGGAAAACAAGATGCTAAGTAGTAATTCCTCCTACATAGCACAGTAACTCTATTTCTATGCAACTAAATATTTGTCAGTTACAAAAATGCAAGACCTTACAAGTCATTTCTATTCCACAGCCATCAAAAACAAGAGGTTCATATAGTGCCTAATAATGTACGCCATGCAAAAGTAAGCTCTGCTGTCCATTATGTTTAGGACTGTACTTGAAATCCCAAATTCAAATTTAAACTGAGCTAAGGATTCATTAGTAAACCAGAGTTCCTAATTTGCAATACATAAGCCATCATGGACTCTGAGGTTGCAGACTTTCAGAATAAATACTTAGGTAATTATTGAAAACAAAACAAACATCCACATTAATATCAGGTAGTATTATTGCTCATATTTATGCAAATATAAGGAAAAAAGAACCTTGTTAATCAGCCCAACATTCCATATAATTCAGCATTTTGTGTCACATGGAGGCCAACTTTTAGCTGATTTTTATAGTCCTGTTTTGATTTTACCACCCTGAATGGTTTAGTATCATCAACAAACTTGGTTAACCTGGTTACCATGTTCCTAACATCTAACACCTGTCCCAACACCAATTCCCTAGGAAATCCCATTTTGAAAATCCATAGAATTTGTTTATATAATATAAAGCATTAAGCCACCTTAAAAATACTACAGTCATAAAAAGAGGCTAAAAAATTAATTGAGTAAATAAGCTAAAAACTAAACAAGAGCTGCTCCAAATTAGTTGTAACCTAATTGTGGGCAATTGGGAAGAGGAGAAGAGGAAGGGAAGTGTGTAATAGTTGCATTTTAAAAATATGTACTTGAATATACTTGGGAATGGTTATTGTTACAAATGACTAACTAATCGATTAGGTATCATCAAGCTAATGTCAACTCTTAGTGACCATACAGGTAGATTTTCTCTATGACAATCTGTCCCAGTCCTGGTCTTTCAGGTCTTCCAGAAGTGCACTTATTGCCCTGTAATTGTGTCCATCCTCCTTGCTGCTAGTTGTCCTCTTCTTCTCATTCCTTCCACCTTTCTCAGCATTATAGACTTCTCCAGAAAGCTAAGTTTTCACATAATGCATCCAAAGTATGATCATTTGAGTCTGGTCATTTGTTCCTTGAATAAGAGCTCTGGGTTGATTTGATGAATGATCCATTTGTTCGGGATTTTTTTTGGCTGTCCATCCTCAGGAGTTTTCTCCAACACAAAAGTTCACAAGTATCAACTTCTTCTATCCTGCTTTCTCAAAGTCCAACTTTCGCTTCCACAGAGTGCCACCAGGAAAACCATTGTTTGTATGATTCTGACCTTTGAAGGTATAGACACATCCTGGCATCTTTTCCAAGGCCTTTGTTGCTACTCTACCAAGTGCTAGTCTGCAGTATATCTGTTAACTGTTGGATCCTTTACTGTTGATAGTTGATCCCAAAACACAGCAGCTATCCACCATTTCAATACATTCACTGTCAGTTCTAAAGATGATTAATATTTCAGATAAATGGATAAGTATTTGCTACTTAATAGCAAGTATTCCATTGGCCTAACTCAGGGGTGGGTAGCTTTTTGGAATTAGAGACACATTTTGAATTTTGACAACATATGGTGGCTATGGGACATGAAAAATGCCTAACAGCAGAGTACAATCCAGGAAGATGGATTCAAAATGAGTATCATTAGTTAATTGTCAAGAAGGTAAGGTTGAATTTGGAAATCAAATAAGCCCCAAACTCTAGCACTCATTTATTAGTGAATTCATTAGGGTGAAGTCTCTGAAAGCTGCTTGACCTTCTTGTTCCCATAATACCAGGCTGAAAGGCTAACCATCCTTTTTCCAGATATATTGGTGCTTAAAAGTTTGTGAACCCTTTTGAATTTTCAATATTTCTACATGGATATGACCTAAAGCATGATCTGGTCTCCAGGCAAGTGAACCCGGTTAAACAAATCAGTCAAAAACATTATACTTGTTCATTTATTTATTGAGGAAAATGATCCAAAGCTACATATTTGTGTGTGGCAAAAGTATGTTAACTTCTAGGATTATTAGTTCATTTGAAGGGGAAATTAGAGTCAGGTGTTTCAGTCAATGTGATAATAATCTGGTGCATGTGTGGGAGGTCCTGCCTCATTTAAAGAACAGAATTCAGGGTATTCACTATCAAAGCCTGAAATTCACAACACAGGTATGAGGAAGTGTGTCATGGCTCAAATAAATGAGATTTCTGAGGACCTCGGAGTTTGCGAAAGAACACATGGATGAGCCAGAAGGCGATTGGAAGAATGTTCTGTGGACAAATGAGACCAAAAGAGAATTTTTCAGCTTGAAGGAAAAGCATTATGTTTGGCGAAAGGCAAATAATGCATTCCAGCATAAGAACTTTATCCCATCTGTGAAACATGGTGGTGGCAGTATCATGGTTTGGGCCTGCTTTGCTGCCTCTGGACTAGGATAGCTTGCCATCATTGATGGAATTCTGAATTCTGAATTGTATCAGCAAATCCTACAAGAAAATATCAGGGTGTCTGTCCATGAACTGAAGCTCAAGAGAAAGTGAGTCGTATAGCAAGACAATGATCCAAAACATAAAAGTCATACAACCAAAGAATGGTTAAAGCAGAAGAAAATCAATGTTTTGGAACATCCAAGTCCTGACCTTAATTTTATAGAAATGTTATGGAAGGACCTGAAAGGGCAGTTAATGCAAGGAAGCCCACCAACATCCCTGAGTTGAAGCTGTTCTGTAAGGAGGAATGGGCTAAAATTCCTCCAGGCTGATGTGCAGTACTAATCAATAGTTATCAGAAACATTTGGTTGCAGTTATTGCCCCCCAAGGGGGGCATATCAGCTACTGAAAGCAAAGGTTCACATACTTCTGTCACACACAAATATGTAGCTTTGGATCATTTTCCTCAATAAATAAATGAACAAGTATAATGTTTTTGACTTATTTGTTTAACTGGATTCTCTTTATCTAGTTTTAGGACTTGTGTGGAGAACATATCATGTTTTAGGTCATATTGATGCAGAAATAGTGAAAATTCAAAAGGGTTCACAAACTTTTAAGCACCACAGTAAGTATATCTATCTGCTCACTGTAAATAATGTTTTGAGATACTCCTGTTTATTTCTCAGTCCACGAGATCTCATGTACACAACCCTTGCCTACCAGGGTGAGCATGGCCAGTCATAAAGTCATGTATCAGAAGGCAGGTGAAACTTACAGGATGTTCTCTATATCTCAGTGACAACTTCATGGGGCTGAAAGATTTTGCTGAAAATAATTATATTATTTTAATATAATGCTTTAGAGCATGTTGTATTTCTGATTATTTTTTTATTAAAGGAATAAGGTGGGGCAGATGGTGCTCTTAAGAACCAGGGATAGATCTAGGGATCCATAGTGTTCCTACCTCTAACCTAATCAAAATTATCTGTCATGACTGGCAGCTTCTCAGGTGTCAGGTAGCATCTTTGTGTGGTAATGGCAAGGGTGAAATCTGGGTCCTTCAGGCTGCAAAACATACATTCCTCAGTAGACATACTTAAACATATTTTTGAGAAATTCAATGACATAGCACATTTTTTAAAATTACCTTATTGGTTGTCTTGATTCCTATAAATGTCTGGCCAAGTGGAACAGGTCGAAAACGACCATCAAAATAAAATAATCCAATATAAGGATTAACATGGAGAAATGTAGCAACATCGAGATAATTAGGTAATGTGGCTGAGAGCCCCAAGATCCTAATCATGCTTTGTGTAGATTCAACCTGGAAAAAGAAAAGAAAAATTAAGTTATCTAAATTTTATTACATAGTATACTAATTAAAGATTTCATCTTGATTTAATATATATTGCATTTTAATTGAGAAAGAAAGCCATACAGGTAGTCTTCGCTTAACAACGGTAACTGGAACCACGATTTCCATTGCACTGCTTAGCGACAGCAGTTCCAGCACTTCTGGTTGCTGTTGTTAAGCAAATCCCATGCTGTTATGAAGCACAATGTCATGTGGTCACCATCTGCGACTTCCTGCCAGCTTCACCAACTTTGCTTGTGGGAAGCCTGGAGTGAAGATCACAAATGGCGATCACGTGACTGCGGGACACTGCAACATCATAATTGTGAGCTGGTCACTAAGCACCCAGATTGTGATCACATGACTGTGGGGACGCTGCAACAGCTGCAAATATGAGGACTAGTTGTAAATACCACTTGTTCAGCACCATTGTAAGTTTGAATGTTTGCTGAATGAGTGGTCATTAAGCGAGGACTACCTGTACTGATTTTTTGCACAGTACTAGTAAGCAGGTTAAGCTAAGCAGGATTCCTCTTCTTTTTCATCCTTTCTCTCTCCTTTTCCTTGCTTCCTTTTGCAACTAAAATCCATGAAGCCACCATCCAAAGTCTAATGCAAAATAGGCAGACACACACTCAAAACTAGGGAATAAAGTATTGTTCATTCTTAGCCCCCTCCTATTTTAAAAACAAGAATTCAAACTGAATTTACAGTTCTCTCACACAAAAATCCATTTCAGGTTTGTACACAAGATTTCTTAACTAAAACAGGCCCACTTAGCAAGAAAAGAAAGCATTTCAGTTGTTGCCATTATTAAATGATCTCGTTTGATTTTACTTCTTGGCCCAATTCAAATTGCTGGCTTCCAGTTTTAAAATCTTGCATAGCTCAAGACTCTTATAACTGAAAGATAATCTCTCCCTAGTTATGCCAATTAGCCAACTGAGTTTAGCAAACAGGGTTCACTATTTGTTATTTATTTATTTATTTAGCCTATGTGCTACCCATTCCCAAAACTCTGTGATTAGCAATGTCAACATATAAATATAACCCCCCTCTCCAATATATATATAAAATTTAAAAGATCAAGAAAAACAAGAATACAAATACAGAACAAATACAACGCTCCTGCAATCCCACCTTCTAACTACGGAACACTTTCTTCTTGTGCAAGACAGAACAGATAGGTCTGCTAATCAAATTTCTACCAGGAGGGAGCTTCAAAGAGAATGCTTGCTTCCGAAGCCCTGCCAGGTGATAATCCTATAGGGACAGGACCTAAGAGGGAGTTGACCCTATTTGATCTAGTTGGATGGGCAGATTAATACAGGAGAAGGTAGCCCCTCAGATAACCAGGTTCACAGCTTTATGGGCCCTTAATACCCTGAATTGCACCTGGAAGCCAACTGGTAACCAATACAGTTCCAAAAGCAGTGGGGTCACCCAAGTATATCAGGATATACTCATCACTGCCTGGGCCACTTATACCAACTGTAGCTTCCAAGAGCTGTTCTTCATGGGCAGCCCATGAACAATGTGTTACAGTAGTTCAAATGGGAGATGACTAGGACATGAGAGACATGAGACGTTTAACTGGGTATCAGCATATTGATGATACTATGCCAGTGGTTGACTTCCCCCAGCATGTAGACGTTAAAAACAAATGTAGAGAGTGGAGAACCCTGAGATATTCCATGAAGTAAAGGCCTCCAGGAAGATGTCTCTTCTTTCACCACCACCAACTGCAACCAACCCTTTTGGGAAGGAGGAAAATCACTGCAGAACAGTGCCCCTCACTCCAATCCCTCAGAGATGTTCCAGAAGGATACCATGATTGATGGTATTGAAAACTGCCAAAAGATCAAAGAGGATTAGGAGGGCTGCACTGCCCTGATCTCAGTTTTTCCATAGGTTATCCAACAAGTGTACTAATTCGGTTCTGTGCTGTATGCTGCCCTAAACCATGACTGCCAATGGTCCAAATAATCTTCTTTCTCTAGGACTCTTTGCAATTGTAGGGCCATCATTATCTCCACAACCTTTCCAAGAAACAGAAGGTTGGAGACAAATCTACAGTTGTCCAAAACAGATTGAGCAACGGAATTTTGAGTAGGAGGTGGAAGTACAGCCTCCTTCAGAGGTGACAGAAACAACCCTTCACTGAAAGAGGTATTGATTACTGCTCAGATTCAACCTCCTGTCACTTCACAAGGGGCCTTAATCATGTCATGAGGGGCAGGAATCCAGCAGAGAAGTCGCAGTTTTAATATTGCAAGTGTTCTTAACCACTTCCTTTTCACTAAAAGGCTCAAAATTATTCCAAATCACTTCACAAGATGAGGCTGCAGACATCTCCACTGGTTGTTTACAGCTGGAGTCCAGCTCCTCTCAGTCTTAGTTTTGTCTGCCAAATGCTGTGAGAATTCATCACAACAGCCTTCCAGATGGTCTTAGTGAACATCCATCCCTAGAAGAGAACATCACCTTTATAAGAGCCATCGGACACCACTGGCCAACACAGTAAGGGGAGAAAAATTATTTTCTTTTTTATTTTTTTGCTGATTGAATTGCTACTGTGTAGGATTGAACATGAGCTTGTACCAATGTTCAGTTACACTTGAGATGGGTTTTCCTTCAGGAGTACTCTAGGTGTCTCCTCTATCATTTCATCTACCTGAGGTCCTCAGTAAACCAGTGGGCTGCAGTGGATCTATGAAAAGAAAGAGCTGCTGCAGTACAATCTAGCCCAGTGGCTTGCATGCACCTTTTTTCTAGTGAGTGACCACAGTCTTGACTAAGCTGCTCACCAGATCCTTGGGAAGCTCCCTAAGAAGCATCTGAAAACCCATGGGATTCAGCAGGTGCCTGGGGTAGAGCGATCTAATAAGGTCCTTCCCCACTGTGGAGGAATAGTCACACTGTAAAACTCTATAACAATTAGAGAGCAATCTGATCATGACAAGTGGTGAATTTCAATGCCCCTCACTTTCAAAGTTCATTGCATCTGCTGAGAGACATAAAACAGATTTGTATGTGACTTCTCATGTGTGTTGGGGGTCCTTAAATTGGGTCAGGTCTATGGTTGTTATGGTGGCCATGAATTCCTCCATTACTTCAGGAGTTACTCTATTATTGCAACATGTTTATCAACCAATGAATGCTAAATAAATGATGCTACCTTGTGGAATGTCCTCTGCAAACATGTTAGGAGATCTGTCTTTTTATTACAGGTTCAAGTAGTTTGGAAGATCTATTTCTTCCAATTTGCTTTTACCCAAGAAACTGATTTTATGTGACTGTTTGAAAAACACATTGGGATGTTGATATTTGTTTTTGTACTTGTTGTTCAGTTCCATACACCCACATCTACACACGTATTCCATACATACTATACTATACTGTAATAATCACCGTTGGAAATAGTAGAATAGAAATGGAAAAGTGCATAGGCAAATCAGTAGATCATCAAAATAATGGTTAAATAGGGAGAATTGCTTCAGGAACTTTAACTGGATAAACTGTATAGCTAAATTCTATTTTCAAGAATTAAAAACTGTCAAAGTTTGCTTTTGATTGAAAATGAGCACTTTAATTTTGTACACTAAATAGACTGAAGGCAATATTGTTCCACATTATGAAGGGAACATCAAAATAGATTTGAGACAGCCAATCCTGTCATGATTTAGAGCTGTATCCCATTCACTGGTAACTGTAACAGCGAGAGGAATATGAGCATTGTTTCATCTCTGCAATGCCCGAAAACTAGTGCATGAAAAAGGAGAAGCATAGGCCATTTTAATGGCTATGTTAAGAATGCTTTTTAGTATAACCTAACCTTACTGCAAGACAAGTTACTCTGACAAGAGAAACAGAGGAGTTCCAGTCTTAAAGGCTGAAGAAATAAATGAATATTTATGACTTAAAATGCACGTCTTATTTTGTATTTAAAAGCTGTGAGGTTTCAGAACCTGGAAAATATTCTGATGAAGGTAATTTTGTTCAAATCTTAAACAACATCTTGAGATTCACTGCCACCGGTGCTTGATATGGTAGAATTAAAAAGAAACTTAAATATAATTGTTGGCAGTGCCATACAGCATACTGACTTTATTATGATAGGGGTAGGGGAGAGTTGAAGAATAAGAAGGTTGAACACAGATTATGAGAATAATTGAGGACATATGTATTGTCAAAGGCTTTCACGGCCGGAATACGATGGCTGGTGTGGGTCTTCCGGGCTGTGTGGCCGTGTTCTGGAAGTTTTGTTTCCTAACGTTTCGCCAGC